TTCTTCACTAGTGACCATAGTTTGAATTTCCCTTCATTCTTTTGTAACAGCTTCAAATGAAAGCTAATGAAACTGGTTGTAAACGTTACTGATCAATGATTTTAGTTAAAGCTTAATGATTTATTAGTTTGTTTTATGAACATGTATTGTACCTGGTAAACAATTTGCACTCATACAATATTATGAAATATTTTACTCTATACAACTGACAGGAAATATATCCCTTGTAAAAAAACTAAATATTAGTGTCAAAATAGTTACAGGCTATGTGAAATTATAAAGGTATTAATAATTAATTTATTATTACTGTTTCTCGTGATGTAAAGAACAACATGCAAAAACTTACATAACGTGTTACTTTTTCTTTTAAAACAGTCTTCACAAACTATTTATAATAAGTAGTGTTGTTAAAAAAACTCCATCTGGAGCTCACCTAAGGTTTCTGCATGTCCCAAGCCTATGTAAAGAACGAGAGTTGAGTGTGAAGTTCGCAACCACACCTCGTATATAGGAACAATACTATAAAAAGTTAACTAGTATCACTAGAAAAATAACAAGTACGTAGATTAGAAGTAAAAACTTATGAAAACGTTTCTTATCATAGTGATGAATATTCTGTTTGCCTTATAAATGATTTTTTCACAGATTGAAATCATGAGTCAGTTGAAGCTAGACCACCATTGAAAACCTGGAAGCACTGGACGGCCGTTTCGTCCTAGTATGGGACTCCTCAGCAGTGCGCATCCACGATCCCGCCCCACCGGATCCGAACCTATAACCTATCGGTCTCGCGCGTGTACACTTAACCTCTAAACCACTGAGCCGGTCAGCATGCAACAGTGTTAATGTCTAACTTCAACGAATTCAAGAAATTGTGCCACCGTACACCATTGTCTTCAGTGATTTGGTATCCCATAACAGACCTGGTTGAACTTCACTGGTCACGGCTTCTCATTAGAACTCCAGGAAATGCCTCTTGAAGCCAGTCACTAGTGAGCAGATGATTATTTTCAGAAGGGCTTTTGTGGAGATTTTAGTAATTTCAATAGTTGAAATCATGTGTCAATTGAAGCTAGACCACCATGGAAAACATGGTGTATGGTGGCGCAGTTTCATGGATTAGTTGAAGTTAGACTTCATTAGACACTGTTGCATGCTGACCGGCTCAGTGGTTTAGAGGTTAAGTGTACACGCGCGAGACCGATAGGTTATAGGTTCGGATCCGGTGGGGCGGGATCGTGGATGCGCACTGCTGAGGAGTCCCATACTAGGACGAAACGGCCGTCCAGTGCTTCCAGGTTTTCAATGGTGGTCTAGCTTCAACTGACTCATGATTTCAATCTGTGAAAATTTCTAAAATCTCCACAAACCCCTTCTGATTATAAATGATTCTCAAATGATTTTCGCACAGGCTGTGACTTTGTATATTACAATATTAAGTATATATTATGTATAAAGGAAATATGAAATAAAAGACGATGATTGACTGCAAATTTCAAGGTTATTTTTCAGTGAAACCTCATAAAACGTTTTCAATGTTCTAGATGTAAACGTGACTATCACTTAACATATGATTTTGTGAAATGATGTGTATATTTTGTCTAACCGTTTATAAATGTTGGGAAGACTCTAGTTTTAATTCAAAAAAAAGTTTTTTCTTTTGAAAAAATAAGTAAACACGATAAGTTAGTTCTTAACATTTCCTTGATTGTTGGAAAGTTGTCAAATAACAAGTTTTTAGTTGGGAAATATCGGTATATTGGATAGGTGGTAACCATCAGATATTTTAAAGTATATTTGAATGTGATTGTTTAAAGCTCGAAAGAATTTTAAGTATTGAGGAAACGTTTTCTCAACACTTAAATAAATTTGACTATTAGTTATAACATCTAATGGTATATAAACTTCTAAAACTAGGAGTATTGGAAACATTAAAAAATAATTCAGCTTTAATTTTGAAGTTAGAATGTGGATCTGAACAAAAGAGTTTTAGATTAAACAAATCCCATGTCCTGAACTTTACTTCAGGCCAATATCTGTTAACTATATTGTTTTGTGTATAGTATGTTCATGCATTAAAGTGACTTCACATAATGATTTTGTCTACAAAATAATTATGATCATGAAAACCACCAGTTGAAGTTAGACATTAACACCGTTGGATGCTGGCTCAGTGGTCTGGTGGTTAAGCGATCGCTCGTGAGACTGATAGGTCCTGGGTTTTAATCTCGCGAAGCGGGATCGTGGATGTGCACTGCTGAGGAGTTCCACAATAGGACGAAACGGCCATCTAGTACTTCCGGGTTCCCCAACTAATCCATGAAACTGCGCCACCATACACCATGTTTTCCATGGTGGTCTAGCTTCAATCGACTCATAATCTCAACTATTGAAATTACTACAATCTCCACAAAACCCCTTCTGATAATAATAATACTTGTTGTGTTCATTTCCTTTGGTTTGATTACAGAAAATAATTATTAGTATAAAGCATGTAAACTGCTATGAAGTTTATGACTTATAAGCATTTAGCTTGTGAAAATTTACAAAATATTTCAGGCATTTGTAGACAAGGATTAGTTGCCATTCATATTCACTTATAAATGATTACGCTCATTACTTCTGCCATGATATCTCCTTACATTGCTAAATATATTTGATGCACGAATTCTATAGTGATTTCTTCACGTTTATTCAAAGAATAGAGAAAGACGAAAACATATGAACCACCGTCATGGTAATTCTCGAGTTTCTTAGTAATAACAATGGTGATTTTTTTATACATTTTCTGAAAGCACACACAAACACATGGTCAGTAGACATTCGTAGTTATTTAAAATGAATCAAAGACAGAAACGTTCATGGCAATAAGTGAATATCGTGAAAGATGGAGTGTTGAAAGCCTAAGTAGACCACTGTTATTTGATAGAAGTTAACACGTTGTATCTTTTATATCATACAATCGAAAGATTGAAACATATTTAGTTCAAATTTATACAGCACTGAAGAACAATGTTTCTATTTGACTAAGCAATTACTAAATCGAATGAACCCGTAAATTTTGATAGGCATTATTTTAGAGATGAGTAACTTTCTATAAAAAGTCGATGAGTGGATGGAAAATAGCAAGTTACTAACACTAAAACAACTAGTTAAAATACTACTTGACTAGGAAATTCAAGTAATTAACTGATATTCTAAGTAAAGATTCTTAATGATACAGATAGTATGATAGAACATAGTTTGGTATAGTGCAATAAACTTGAATAATAAGTATTATTTTTGTACTAATGATGTGTTTTGTTGTCAAAAAACTAAAATACTTCTGTTTTTAGTCAGATCTTATTCGAATTGGCTAATGGTAGTAAACAAAGGCTTTTTACACCCCTAATAACAAGTGATATATACTGTTAAAGGCAATCTGACATGCGTTGTCCAGAAAGTATGTTTCTTTTCGGGAAAACTGAAGTCGACTAATTTATGCTTAAAACAGTGGTTATTGATCAGCCACTTATGTGCAACACAGAATCCAGTATATAAGCGCTTCGATTTAATTTTCTGCAGCACACTAGAACTGTGAGATAACATTATTCTAACAAATTCCAGGAGAAGCGAAGCAATAACAGCGTCATGGAGAAAACATGGATTTATCGAATGAAAAGGAACGATAAGACAATTTAAGAATCTGTGGTCTGAGTAAAGACAAAGAGTGACTGGACCTGATTCATTATGAAAGATCATGTGCTATATCACCTAAAGTCTCTAAACAATGGTTGCAATAATTACGTGGAAATTAACTAGGTAGTCTGTACCTACCTATATGTCTGAGTCCAACAGTTAGTGACCTCATAGACTGACACCACAATTCAGTTTAGTAGCCTCTTTTTTCCCTCCAGCCTACTTCCAAACCAGACATAGCCAACATATGTGTCAACCACCTCTGTCGATGAAGATTCATAAACTCATCAACCGGTTTGTTATATTTATGTAGTGTTCCATGTTCAACTCAGGAGACACAAGCGATACTTTGAAACCAGTAACCTATAAATATGCTCTACTGTTAATGGTCATTTTTCGCACCAATAGTGTAAAATGGAACGAACAAATGTTAAGCAAACTCGTCCTTTGGTTATAAGATGGATGTCTCACCTACTCCTCCAGTGACACAAGGGGGAAAGCCCATACTCCGTTTTTCAGTCTGTTACTATATTTCGTCTAACACCAACCCATCAGGACTCATGAGACTCCTAAGATGTGGTTGATGTGCTCAATTATCTTTCCTCCTACTGTTGGTCCAGGCGTTAAAATAAACCAGTCTTGATGCAACATTTTGCATTTCAAGGGAAAAAAAATTATCCCAAATATGCCTACACTGTTGCTTAACTTAGCCGGCAGACTGTGCGCTTTGTCAGCATCTTCACTAAACAGCACTATATCATCTGCACATTCGAAGTCGGAAAGTGAATACCCTAATAGCGAATCGACCCTTAAAATGTTAGACGATGAGAGCATTATCTCTGAAAGGATTTTTATGAGAGAGTCAAGTAAGAAAGAAGAAAGTGGAGAACCCTGAAGAACGCTATTTGAGGTTGGCAATTTTGATAACAGTCACTATATGCTTTAATACGACCATTAGTGTCAGAAAAAAGGTTTGTACAAGTTTAACGTAATTCTTTGGTACGCCTTTAAATGATAGACACTCTCAGAAGACATTTCGACCAATTGAGTTGAATACTGTCTTAAGGTCAAGGAGTACATCTCTAGTCTGGTGTCGAGAAGTATGTTTGTTTTCCAGGACCTATCAAAGGGCGAATATCTGGTCGGTATGTCCAGGGCCAGGTTTGAAACCAACTTGACTATTAGTTATATGTTCTTTAACACATTTCTTTAACCTGTCATTTTTATCCATTGCTTTCGAATTCGTAACCATTTATATTATCATAGGTTTTATTAATTTGTCATGCTTTGTCATCCTATCTACCATTATTTCTTAATTTTAGGCACGTAAAAATGGACGGATTCTTATGAAACGTATTTATTATCCAAGTATATCCACTAATTCATTTCCCGATCTGTCACATTGTCCTGTGTATGAATGTAGTGTAAGTCATACGATTCAGCAAGCTGACTTAGTTGTTTTTGAAAATGATGCAGAACTTAGTAGCTTAAAGAAACAAAAGAATCAATCTTGGCTGATTTATCATCTTGAATCTCCACGACATTTTTCATTCCCTACGTTCAAAAACTTGGTAAGTAATAAATTTATGCATTGTTTCATGTCGGTTCATTAAATTTTAATCCGACCATTACTGACTGAATAGATTTTCACCATTTATATTCCCTATAGACTAATTCAATTAAAACCATTTTATTTATTTACATTCACTTGATGTGACAAAATAAATCAGTGTTTATTCCTAGAATTATTTTTTGTTTACTGAAAATCATTTGACGAATTGACACTTATGAGTAAATATTTCAGATTCATATACTAACTATGTGTTTCCACTGACAGAATAATACCGTTTTTGATGAGACTAAAATTTATGGACGAACCAATCAAGTATAAAATAATGGGTAACGGATTTTGGCGCGAAACTCACTCAACCATTTGGCTAAATAAAGTCTTGGCATTATAGCTGTTAGTTCGTGATGAAAACCCTAAATCTAATTTCTAACATTAATCATCAACTGTAAATCGAAATTCGGATTCATCACATTAATTTATAACCCTCACTTGGTCCCAGTTATCAGGTGGACACTCTCAAGGTCACTTTAGCGTCGCTGAAACGTCGTTCATAAATTATAGTCCCATCGCTTGATTGGTATCATGAAATTCATTTATAGATCTGAATAGATCTATATGTATGCATACAATCAGAGTTAGAAAGGTGAATCTGAAATATACTGTCGAATTAAAATTCAGATTTTTCATTGGTGAGTATCAATAACTATATTTATTTATTTTCTTAATGTAACTTTTTTTGGTTAATATTAATTCGATATAATTTTAGCATGTTTAAACTTTTAAACTTGTAAAAATATGTAGTGCTATTTAGTGCCCACATGACTTGTTCTAGCTGATTTCAAACACCGTTGAGGATTATATGATAACGGTTACGAGGGTGACTGTTTAACAAAGCACAGACACTACAAATCATCATACTATCCAAATGGAATCTGATCTCGGATCAATAAAAATACTTGAATAAACAAAGTATGATATAAGGTGTTTATTAACTCCTTTAGTAATACATTTCCAATAAATGAACTAACAAACTCCGCAACATCTTCAAATCACATTACCTGTATGTCATATTCTAATTTTACTGAAGTCAATAAAGACATTGTTAAGTCTTCTTACACGTTTTACCGTATTTATTCTTTCAATCTTCAAAAAAGAATTTGGATATCTTTTTCGTTTGCATATTATTTCCGTATTACATATTGTATTTCTCTGACTAAACATGAAATTAAATAGAGCTAGAACGAACAGGGATGCAGAATAATATGAATTCTTTATATTTCGTGGTTTCTCATCAGCTGCTTACAACCAAATATGTATTAGAATTTTACATTAAGGTAAGATATAGTGTGAAACAATTGACATGAGTGAATGTAAAGAATTGGAATAAGAAAGGTTATCAATAATAACTGCATACATGTGTGCAAGAACAGGTCGGAGGTCATTCGGTGTTAGAATCAAAAAAGCATTAGGGGTGGATGATCTAATAACCGAGTGACAGATAATAAAAATTGTGTAATAATTTTAGAAGTAATAAAGGGTTTGCATAAGATTCCTGGAATTAAAAATCTGGTAAGATGGGTTGAGCAATAATTAAACAAAATTTGATGAGTTCAAATAATTTAAGAGAATTGAGTGAGTGGAAATGTGTGGGTGAAGAGGGTGGTTTAAATGTACATAAAATAAAAATTCGGTAATGAAACAGAAATATAACATTAACATTAACAAAATAAAACTAACGATCAAAAACCTGATCTATGTATTCAAAAAGATACAGTAATAAACTTATTACTATCCCGGTAATTCAATTTCCAGTCATTAGTTTTATTTCTGTACTTCATTCGATTATTACACCACTCACCCCTCATGCTTTTTTGATTCTAACACCGAATGACCTCCAACCTGTTCTTGCACACATGTATGTAGTTATTATTGATAACCGTTTTTATTCCAATTCTTTACATTCACCTATTTCAATTGTTTCACAATATATCATACCTCAATGTAAAATCATAATACATATTTGGTTGTGAGATAGTGGAGAAGATTTGTAGCTCAGGTGGATGATTTTGACAGAGTTTGTTCTCTAAGCTGGATGGTTTGGTCGTGGAGCTTTCACCGCTCTTCTGAATGACGTCATCAGCACAGACTTCTACTTGATGATGTCGTCCAGACGAACAATAAAAGCTCCACGACTAAACTATCCAGCTCAGAGAACAAAACTCCATCAAAATAATATCAATAATGTGTATAAAATAAGCTAAAGAATATTAGTTGTTAACTGATATATGAAATGGGATATCATAACGTAAATGTATGGTATATGGTTTTTATTCATTGAATTTTATATTACCTGTTGTAATCTTGTTAATATCATACAGTATTATTGATATCAATCCTATTGAATGGTACTTTAGATTATCTCTTCTTATATTTATACACTAATCATTATTGGTATTTCAACAAAATAAAATCAATTTTCAATTTTACTTATAGATTAATTTTACCGCTACATATACAGTGGATTCAACTATAGTTACACCATATTATAAATATGTACCATTTTCAGATATGGTGCCAAAAGATTTAAATCATTCAATTGAATTTGATAAAGATTTTTCTAATGGTAAAACTAAAATGATTGCATGGTTTGTAAGTAATTGTAATGGTGGTGGTCCACGAATGAATTATGCTAAGGAATTAATGAAATATATCAAGGTAAGAAAAATATCAATAATAACCTAATCTGTAAACAATTTTTTGTTGTTTATTTATTCAATAATTTATTAATAATCATTATTACGATTTATTACATAACTGTAAACTTATGTGTAATCATATTGGTAATTGTTGATTTTCACAGATTGAAATCATGAGTCAGTTGAAGCTAGACCACCATTGAAAACCTGGAAGCACTGGACGGTTTTCAATGGTGGTCTAGCTTCAACTGACTCATGATTTCAATCTGTGAAAATTTCTAAAAATCTCCACAAACCCCTTCTGATAATTGTTGATTTGTCTTTCTTTTAAAATTTGTAAAAAAAAAGAAAAATAATTCACTTAGTGATAAACAATATTAAAATGAATATTGATTTAACTTTGTATTTTCATTTACTCTTTTAAAAAAAACTAGGTCATATCAACGGTTAAAATAGATTAGGTTACAGGTTAATCAATATTTGAGATTATTATTGAGTCAAATAAAAATATAAGTGAAAAAATAAACTCATGTAATTAATAAGTAAAAGTTACTTATTGATTTTGTGATTGACAAAGTTCAAGTTGATTAGATTGTGTGAATGAAGAGAGTGATTTGTTCATCTTTTTAAAAATTAATAATTAGACAACTTTTATTGAAGAGATCATGACAATTTTGAAATTAAAAGTTTTGAAGTGAATTTTGTTGTGAAAGGTAACTTTCACCATAAATTGATGTTAGTTGAAGAAGTGATGAAAATTAGTTAGTGTTTCACATTAGATATTCCAAGATGCCTACAACTAACAATTATTCGTTAAAGGTCCCCGGTCTTCTAATTATTCGTTATAAAATATTCTTAAAATGTCCTCAAAAATCTTGACAAAATTAAGCTAAATAATCTTTAAGTTAAGCAGTTATTTGAACACTAGGTATTGTCTAAATAAAGTTATTGATAGTTGAAGTGTATCTCATCACTTATAATGACGATGAGGATAATTGTATTGTGAGATAAATTTATTTCTGAAGAATTTACTGCAACAGAAAACAATTGTCAAGCTCCTTTTTGTTTCTATTCTAATGGTTTTGTTTTGTGCTACCTGAAACATCACGAAACGTTGATTCAATCATGTCTACTACACATTTGTCCTAAATAGAGTATGCTCAAGACAAGATCAATGGTTTAGTTTTGTTTTGTTATAGAGCTAATTTAGATCGAATACTAACAAAGATAAGGATATAGATCCAACACAGTTATTTACTACTCGGTAAACAACAATACAACCACATATCAACGATACTCAAAAACATATATAGAATAAGAAGGTTGTTTGATTGTTTTAAAATTCTGTTATAATTTTACAAGTTAACTATCAACAATTACTTCTTAATCTGATAATTGTTTTAGCACATTTATTTGACTAAATAAAAACTTTCATTTCATGTTCAATGCTGTCATGTATTAAAAGGAAGCATTTGGAATCCCATAAACTGATAATATGAAATAAACTTTTCTGTAAGAAGAAGCTAATTTAACTTGATTTGATCTTAGTACTTTAGCTGAAAATAATTAACTTGTAAATATTTGAGTAAGATCATTGTATTTGTTCTGGATTTAAGCGTGCAAAAAGAATAATTGATAAATACGTAATGTAGAAAATAAACTGAAAGTAAATTAGAATATTAAGTCAATAGTAAAACATGATAGATTAGATATTAAAACTAAGCTCATATGTTTGTTGATGTTGTGATGTCGATACATTAATTACAAAGTTTTCGTTGTCATTGTAGACAACATCATCAACTTCTACTTCAAGAAGTTAGGCTATTATCCTTATTGTCCGAAAAGTCTTATGTTTGGCAAATTAGCCACTAAAAAAATAATCAGTAAGTGTGGACAATCTAATTATTGATCATATTGGTCTAGTTAATAGCGTTAACAGTTCATGTATAATGATTAACACGTTTTCTAATAAGAATAATTTGTGTATTAGCTTGTAGTATTTCTTTAAAAATAAACAACAGCATTGTGCCTATAGTCACATTTGAAGTTGTAAACGTTCTTTTACATTCCATCATGCACATATTGTCATTTATATAGAAAATGATGATCTTTAGATAACGTATTTGAATGATGATACTAAAACAAGCAACTTTGAGAAATAGTTTATCAGTTCTTCAAATTCATAAGAAGGACACAACAGTTAATCATTACTTGTTCATGGGTTTGAATTAGGATTAAACAATTTAGCAAGCTACTTGTTCAGCATATAGTCATGTCTTAATGTAGGAATGTAACTATCACCTTGAGGTGGTGGTGTTATAATTCTGTCTCACAGTTATAACTCAGCTATTCCTATTGCTTAGTATTCTCGGGCACCAATTCACTCGACAAGTCCCCAAATCAGGACACGGTTGAACAGGAAAGAGATTATATTCCAAATAACAAGGTTAGATGGAAGTAAGAAGCACAATAGTAAAAGCGTTAGTATATTTATAGTTTTTACATGAGAAGATTTCTAGAGTATTCTCCAAGTATCGGCTAGTGCTGATTGGATAATAATTAGCCAATCAGCGTGCGCCAACGGAATGGTGCATCGAGCATGCTTTAATCAAATCTATGTCCCGCTAACATGTGGTGATAATTTTTAGATAAGGTGTATAAACTATAACTGTCTTGGATGTATTTAATATACGTTGTGACCGTTTTGTTGCTAAGATTACAATGAATTTTTTCCGTATAATATGGACTATTATAAAAAGTGTTTTAATGGGCCTAATTAAGAATCATTAATTGAAGTATTCTCTTCTAATTTTATAGGTCAAGTGCCAATAGATGCTTCTTTATTGTGTATTATCTTGTTGTACATTTGTTTAACAGTGTATGTTAATTCGTATAAAACATCAATAGATAATCCGATTGATAAAAATTTATCTCGAGTATATAGCGGCTTTCCTACAATCAGTTTCAATTATGGTTGTTCAGACAATAACAATTCGCATTTTTCTTTGTACTATTATGGTTACTATCATATCTGTATAAACGTATACGCTTGATCGCACAACAGACTCTAGCTAAAATGTTGGCAGTCTAAATATCGTTCGATGAATCATTCTCTTCCTCGTGCATAAATGTACTCGAATCCTACTATTAGCCATTGTCTTTCCTATCTGCTCCTTGATTCGATTGACTATAAATTTGCCTCTGTATTCGCTCACATACACATATTCGCCTCTCTGCATGAAATTCACTCTATGTGATTGTAGCTTAGTTATCTGTAGTCGCCGCTTCTTATTGCCCTCTGATTTCAAACACCAATGGGGTTTATATATTAACGGTTACAAAGGCGATTGATTGACGAAGCTAAGCTATTACAAGTATTTTTTAAAAAAAATCATTAACTCATTATAAACGATTGAGCATTAATTGTTGTGCATTATATTATTAACTATTTATTGTTATATTTTAAACAGGTTGATATCTATGGTGCATGTGGAGATCTAATTTGTGATAAATATAATAGCAAGTGTTTTGAATCATTGAAAAATGATTATAAATTCTATCTCAGTTTTGAGAATAGTATCTGTCAAGATTATATTACTGAAAAGTTCTTTCTAAATGCTCTTAAGTAAGATTTTTTTCTTTTGCAATTGTAAATATAAATATTATTTATTTATACGAATATTCGTCAAGATTAGAATGAATCGTTTGACAGAAATTAGGCGCCGAGTATAGAGAAGTCATCATATGTAAAAAATTATATTTGGAATAATCTCAGTGATTGAAATTTAAATAAATCATTCCAACGTTTCGTCCAGCTAACTTGTCTGGACTTTTTCAGTGTAATAATCAAAGTCAAAATCATCAAAGAAATATATATAGCGTTTTAACAATCAAATCTATACTGTGTTAATCCAATCATATTTGGATGTTGATTTTAGTAAATAGGATAACATGAGTCAGTTAAATGCGAATCATGTCAAAAGTTCACGATGTGAAAATACATGACTGAGCGAATTATGTGTATTTATGTATGTGTAAGATTGAGTTATTAATAGTTGATATTAGGTGTTAATGTTTTTATATAAAGGAAAAATAAAAAAATTCAAATTGAAGGCTGAAAAAATTGTTTCTGAATCATTGATATCCATGTCAAATGAGAATCATCAAATACATAATTGTCTTGCTAAAATAACCCACATTAATTTCAGTCAGAATGACGATGCATGTGAAATAAACAGGTTGATAAGAAAGGGCCCAATTCCTTTCATCGATATTTGCCAGATACCTTGATAAGGTTATAACACTCATAAAGAAAGATTGACAACAGAAGCGCTGTATATATGGGTGAGCAAGAACAGCCTGAACCGAAAGGATGGTATTCAACTAGCGACTACTTGTCAACTTGGCACAACTTTCTGGCTTTGTGGTACAGCGTTTTCACAAACGATAAGTATAAGTGACTAGAGAAAAATTATGAGTTAAGATTTTGGTCACTCCATGTTTTTTTCCGACACATGAATGTTTAATAGGTTTCGTCACTTCTTCCATGACATCTAGACCTAGGGAACAGATCTTATACTTTCCTTTATGTTCGATTGTGAATTTCATGTTGGAATAGACTAAGTTGAAAGTTTCAAGTATCTTATTAACATGATTGATGTCGTTGCACAAGTATCATCAGTTTAGCTTACATTCAGTATAGTTTCTTTGATAGGGAAAAATATCGTTTTTCGTTTATTCACATATCTAGAACTCCCATGTTATAGAAAACGTGTTATTGAAATAAAAGCTATTAAATTTAATAGAAATAAAGTTATGAAACAGATCATACTGAGTTATGGCTTTAATTTACTTGTGATAAATGAATACTGAATACATTCGAAATTTAATTGTGAAGATCATTGACATTTTTAACGATGTATCAATTCACATTGTTGTTTAGGTTGAAGAAATTGCGTTGATATATTTAGATGACTATTTACAATATCTTTTATCAATCTCAACGAATCTTCCTGTCAAAAAGTAGGAAAAATCATATCTCGTCGATTGACTACATATTTTAAGGAGAATGCATTTTGATGAGGCAACTATTGAGTAAATACTGAAAGTAAATTTCATTGAATCGTTGTTTCATAAACACGTTTCTCATCCAAACTGTTTTATATTCAAATTATTAGAAAATTAATTATGCAGATTACATTAAACTATACCAAACTCTTTACGTTAGTAGTTGTACTACAAGTAATTATGATGATCGCCTGTAACTAAACTTGTACTCTAGCAACCCTTTCTATTTCAAATATTCCAATAAATAGTTATTATAGGCTTACGAGTCTGAAGTGATCAGGAATGTAATTGTTTTACCAGAGCACCTGTTAACAATCCTCATTTTTCAATTAAATTTCTCAAACCACTAATAGTTTACGCTACTTTATGATAGAATAATTAATAGCTCTAATAATATATTGTATTTTAGAAATACTGTTGTTCCAATCGTAATGGGTGCATCGAAATCAGAATATGTAAGATCAGCTCCATCAAATTCTTTTATTCATGTAGATGATTTTAATTCTGTCAAACAATTAGCGGATTATTTGTACTATCTAGACAACAATAAAACTGCTTATAATGAATACTTTAAATGGCATAACCATGGAACAGTTGATTTTAATACATTCACTGATTGTCGACTATGTATGCTGGCGCATGAAATCGATAACTTGGAACGACCTTATTGGTATGAAGATGTAAATCAATGGAGAGAGAATAGTTGTGAAAATCGTAAATTTCCGATTATTTGATAACTTAGTAGAAAAAAAACAAGTACACTTGTAAATGTTGATTTGATTTTATATTTATATTTTTATATTTTGATTATGTTTCATTTTTGGAAAAAAAGCTTAAGAATGAATAGACGTTTATGTCAAGCACCTCCAAGGACCCTCCAAAATTTACATGACATTTTCACTGTATAATTGAATTTATGATTTTAATTAGTTAGTTTTATTATTGTCAAATTTGAAATACATTTGTAATTTTTTATCTGATGGATTTTAATTCCTTTTTCACTTTTGTGATGTAATTTTTACTAATTCGTAGAAATTGTACAAAATTTATTGATTTGAAATTCCTTTTTTTCGATTGATGAAGGTGTTAGTCGTGGAATAAGCAGTAATGGTAATAGACACAATACATTTCGTTATTCTCGATTCAGCCCTACTTTTTTGTTCAATATCATAGCTAGCAATGCTTTTGTCCATATTCGAATATTTGTACACATAATGTTCGCAAACACTTTTATAAAAGTTTGGGTTTCTTTTCATATTGGTCAAATTTATCGTTTCCTAATTACTTCATTACTTACGCCTGTTACCCTCATGAGGGAGCACAAGCCGCTCACAACGTTCTCCATCCAACTCTGTCCTTGACAATCCTTTCCAGTTCTTTCCAGTTGCTATTCATCCTTTCCATGTTTGCTTCCAATTCCCGACGCAGTGTCTTCATCGGCCTTCCTATTTTTCGTTTCCCTTCAGAATTCCAAGTTAGCGCTTGCCTCGTGATACAGTTTGATGATTTCCTCAATGTGTGTCCTATCCACTTCCAACGTCTTTTTCTAATTTCCTCTTCAGCTAGAACTTGGTTTGTTCCCTCCCATATCAGGCTGCTTCTGACGGTATCCGGCCAACGGACATTCAGTGCCTTACGTAGACAATTGTTTATAAATACCTGTACATTTTTATGATGGTTGTGGTAGTTCTCAAAGTTTCAGTTTCGTACAGTAGGACTATCTTGACGTCAGTATTAAAGATTCTGACTTTCATATCGGTTGACAGTTGTTTTGAGTTCCACATGTTCTTCAAATGTAGGAATGCTGTTCTTACTTTGCCAATCCTTGCCTTCACTTCTGCATCAGACCCTCCTTGTTCATCGATGATGCTACCCAGACACGTGAAAGATTCTACCTCTTCTAGAGCTTCTCGATCAAGTGTGATTGGGTTGGTGTTCTCCGTGTTACATTTGAGGATCTCGCTTTTTCCCTTTTGTATGTTGAGGCCTACTGATGCTGAGGCTGCTGCTACATTGTTTGTCTTGACCTGCATTCGTTGGTGTGTACGAGAGTGAAGAGTAAGGTCGTCTGCGAAGTCCAACTCATCTAGTTTCCTCCAACCTGTCCATTTTATTCTGCGCTTCCCCTTAGATGTTGAGGTCTTCATAATCCACTCAACTACCAGAAAAAAGAGAAAGGAGAAAGTAGACAGCTTTGTCTGACTCCGGTCCTTTTTTGAAGTCGGTCTGTCAGCTGTTCTCCATGCACCACTTTATACTGTAGTCGGTCATATGAATTTCGCGTGATGTTGAGGATTTTCTCAGCTACCCAATTCATAGTGTCGAGGAAGTTTCTATAATGTTCTCCTATCCACGTTTTCAAACGCCTTCTGATAATCAATGAAGTTGATGTATGGTGACAAGTTCCATTCAAGTGATTGTTCAATGATGATCTGTCGTGTCACGTTTTGGTCTATGCACAGCCTTTCTTTACGGAATCCAGCTTGTTGATCCCGAAGTTGAACGTCTACTGAATCTTTCATCCTGTTGAAAAATTTCCACGCTACCGATAGAAGTTTGATGCATTTGTAGTTCTCACACTTGTTCGAATCTTCTTACTTTGGCATCCTGATGAGGTATCTATCTCTCTAGTCTGTCGGCACTTGTTCTTCCTCACAAATCTTCCTGAATAAAATGTGGATGTGGAATCTTTCACGTATCTGGTTAGCATCATCGATGAACAAGGAGGGTCTGATGCAGAAGTGAAGGCAAGGATTGGCAAAGTAAGAACAGCATTCCTACATTTGAAGAACATGTGGAACTCAAAACAACTGTCAACCGATATGAAAGTCAGAATCTTTAATACGAACGTCAAGATAGTTCTGTAGTGTGTGCTACTTATATTGACATAAGTAGTGGATGATGTTATTCGTGAACAGAAGGTCTGGCAGCAGAGAGACAAGAAGATAGAACAGTAAAGAATAGAAACAGGATGCAATTTGTATGGAAATACAAGAGCAATGAAGTCTGAGTCATTTTGAGACAATTGGTGGACATTTTGCAAATTAAGCATTTACTTTATGATTGTTAGGTTTTATTAACAAGTCCTATAATTTTGCGTTAAATACATTCGATTATCCCCTCTCGTGTTCTGTTCACTACACAAGTAATCTAAGTATTCATATGTTAAAATGTCAAAACTCATTAGTGGTGTGACAGAAGATCCAAGTATGTTATTCAGTATGAATATATTTTTCATAACAGTTTGGCTTAAGTTGGAAAATCTTTAGTAACTTCATTATTAGAAAATCACGATCAGTTTATTAAAGTGAATGATGTAGAATGTAGATTCTCATCGAATCACTGGATTCTATGGTTACAACAGCAGGATATAAGCACCTTTTGTTTGGTAATTTTCTAGGGTTTCTAACTTTTTAAGAATCCTGTAACTGATCTCATTTAATGATAAAAGATCTTTTGGAAATCAATTCAACGTGTTGTTTAGTTGCAGATGGGTAGTAAATGTCATACAAAACAATACATAATAATACGACAGGTTACTTTTGTTGATAGATTGAAAGGTAAACATAGTAAATAAATTAATAGTTATTTCAGGATGAATTGCGTCACGGGCTGACATCAGCCTGGAAACCATTGGAAATCAGAGAGCACAGGACACATATTCTTTTGTCGTTGAAAAAACTTTTCAGCTAAACTTAAAAATAGTGTCACGCGGTGTAAAACCGATAATCCTTAGGCCTCGAATAGGGTAAATCTATAGACTATCGAATCCGAATCCTATAATACACTTATTATACTCGTCACTAGTGGGTTTTATGGAGTGTGGCTATACATGTTCATAAATACGATTTACCAAACGTTTAGCGTTCCATGATTTTCAGTAATTTCCCGCTTGATATCAACGTGTCTTCAAATAAATATTATTTTTATATTGTGTTAACATTTGAATCTATTTACATTCATCCCAAAAAATATTCTTTTTTTCGGAAAAACAACATCGTTAAGGTAGATTTGGACTTCTTTAGATCATAGACTTTGTTTTCTATGGATAATTATGTATAAATAATTGTCTTAAATTGTTTGTAATAAGTAGAATAGGCTTATGAAACTTGACTTTATTTTTAAAGATATACAATCTCTTATTGAATAGTCACTATGCCTACCAGAAATAGATTCAATTTGTACAGTGGTCACTGCTAACATTTACATTCTATTATAAACGTATTATTTACTGTAAAATACAATAATTAATATAATAGATGAGCATACATTTATTTTATACAATAGATTGCTTTGGTAACTGTATTGTGAAAAGTATTTGATTATTGAATTGATCACACTATTGAGTGAACAATGTAATTGGTGTTCTCAACTAACATTAGAAATAAAACCTTATTTTGTTGAATAGTTCTTTTGCAAAATGACGATATATCAATTAAATATTTATTTTCCAAACACCATAAGTTGCTACAAAACGATACTTTTAGTAGACTTCTCAAGAGAAACCTTCGCTACGCCTTAGGTAACCCTAAAGTGAAACTGCATCAGACTGTACAATATTTACTCATGATGACTGGAATTAGAAAAAAACATCCAGCTGGGAGAAAATTCACTGAAGTGAATTTAATGAACACTTACCACCATCGGAATTACGATAAATAAATCTACTTTCGATAGTGTAATAAGAAGACAAAGATTATCAGAACTATAAGATATATTAGTGCAATACATTTTAAACGATCTGATCACACATACATTTGTTAAGAACATTTATATATAAAAATAAAAAAGTCAGCTAGACTAGAAATGGCTGGAAAGTTCATGTTATAGTGAGAACTACTATAGCCTTGGCAGAAAAAAGGCCTGTCTACATCACCTTACCATCTAGAAGTTATTCAAATAGCCTATTATTGAATCAAAGGCTTAAATCAGTTATTAACAATACGTATTAGGTAGCAAAGGAATGAACAAGGTCGATGCTTTATCGAAAACCTAAAAGACTTGAGAACAATTGCATCACATCCCACTGTGCTTACCAATTTAAATGTGTGTATAGCCACACATATATGGGGAGGAGTAATCGTGATCTAAAATTAGGGTATGTGAACATGTACTTTAATGACTTAAGAAGCAAATAAAATCAAATGATTCAATAGGAGTAGAGGCTAAACATCCATCATCCTCTATTGCCAAACACATAATTGAAGCAGGTCATAAGACTGATCTTAACTCCACTTTTGTGGTGTTGTAGAAAAGTGAAAAAGTGCGTATAATAAGCATTATAAGCAAAGATGGATAGTGGCTAGCAGTGAAACCCAGGACGCATGTTTCGTCCTATTTAGGACTTTTCAGCTGGATGTACCTGCACCTCAAAGTTAATGTTCACTCTGGGACTTAAACCCAGTATACTAGGATTTACTGAAGCCTTAGCCATAAAAAAGTTCAAACCCCTTTGTGTATTCAAAAACAGTTTGTTCTCACCATGAACCTTCCCTGGTAATATTAACTTATTATGCAAAATAATGAGGTTTCAAATTGTATTCACATTATTTTCATTTCTGATAATCTTCGTCTTTTTACTACACTATCGAAATTTATCAAAGGGACTAATGCCTCACACAAATGTACGCAAATATTTGCATCACCACTTTATTTTAATTGATATTAATCAGGATTAGTGAAAAATTCCCGTCATTGTATGTCTTAATCTTCTGTTTATTGTCTTTACCTTTGA